ATCATGTCTTTTTTCGTAACGGGCACCTAAGTTACGAACAAATGTCTTGCTGTTTAATTTATCACGTAAAATTAACACTTCAGAGAAAAATCAAAATGAAATATTCTGGCTGATTAATTTCACGCTTTCAAAAAGATCAGTAAAGTCAATAAAGCTCTTGTTAGGTAGAGGGTTCCCGGCTTTGTATTCCTCAGTAAAAAAGTTGAGCTTCCAGGCGTTAAAATAATTTTTCTGCGTAACGTGCCGCCTGTCTAAAATTTTTCAAAAGACGAAACATTCTTGAAAGAAAATTGAAGCAATCGTCAAAGGAAGAAGTATACAGTTAATACCATACCTTTTCAGATTTATTCCATTTTTTTTTTTTCGCCTTGTATGAATGGACCAGAGATGTAGCGTCCTCCTTCCCTTTTTCTTTAAAAGGGGAGAGAAAAAGGTTTCTTTTTTATAATCAGTCCTTTTTTGTAATCACTCCCATAAAATCCATTCCATTCCTCAAGTTTTCACGGGATCATTTGCGGTCGACTTTAGGGATCACTTGCGGTCGAGGATCATTTGCGGTCCATTTTGGGGATCATTTGCGGTCTCGGGATCATTTGCGGTTGGGGATCATTTGCGGTACTGTACAGATCACGTGGAAAAGCTCTCAGACGACTGAGACGATCGGGACGATCTAAGGCTATCCCAGAAATCATCACTACTATTCCAGTAATCGAGAATAATTCGGCCTGAACGCCGCTGAAGTTGAAAAATAATACAAAAGTGTTCGCATCGCGTATTGGCGCTATTTGAAACTATTTGAACTCTTCTTGTTTGTCGACGTCGTAAAATCGAGAGAAAGGGAAGATAGTAAGACTCGAGGTTCGCTCTTCGTTTAAAATCCATCATCTGCATCATTATGTTTGCCTTGTTTGCGAAACACGCGCAAAAATTCTATCGTCTGACCCAGAGACATCACTGACGTCCCCGGCCGCGTCTCTTGTCGTTGAGGCGATCTAGACGATCGCGTGGAAACTAGAAATCGCCCTAGTCGACGTCCGGATCGTCTCTAAATATTTTGAAATTACTGGGGCGATCAGGACGATCCGGACGATTATATGAAAACCAGGCTTTACGGGAAAATGGCTTGACCACCTGCTACTTATGACGTCATATCTCGTATCCATAGTAACTGGCCATCACTAAACTTGTCTCAAAACGCGCGTGAGGGATAAGCGAACAGCTACAGAAAACCTCAGGTGCTCATGTTTTATCGCCTAGGGGAAAAATTAGAAAACCTTACGTAGAAGTAGCAACCACCCCCCCCCCCCCCCCCCCCCCCCCCCCCCC